CAGACTGTGAATTTTATTCAGGAGTTACAACCTGGTGTCCTCAGACAGAGCAGTGAAGCAAATGCCCCGCTCCCCGAGGCAGGGTTCTCCTCATACTAGCAGACACGGCATCAGGTGCCAGCGTGTTCCTGGTAACCAGGTAGCATGCCTGTCTCCTCTCCCTGCAGACACAGGGCTGCTTTGGGGGACAGGGAGGAAGGCACCAAGGAGCATGACACCCAGCACAGGGACACCCTGCGAGCAGTGCAGGTGGCCCAGAAAAGGGCAGTGGCTCTGCATTTGCCCTCTGGCCACAAGCCCAGACCAGCTGCCTGCAACAGCGAAAGGGCAAGGACCGATCCTACAGCAGCTGCCACCACCTCGGGGCCCCAGTCGCATCCAGAGTGTTCACAAAGCGACCGCAGGCTGCAGTGGCTGATCGCTGATGTCCCCAGCAGGGGCCACTGTGACATTAAGGAAAGCCAACCCACTAGGCATGGCAGGGGGCCGTGGGCTCCAGCCCCTACAGCAGCCCAGGGGCTTCTTGGAGCATCTGCCCTCCTCCAGGGCTCAGGCTCAGGCCTCCGAGGTGAGTTTGTAAAAAAGAACAGCTGCATGTGATGAGTGAAGGGGGCTGGGGGGGTGTCACTGTGGGGCAAGGGGCTGCTGTACACTGCAGTACAAAAATAAAGATATAAACCAGAAATTAAAAGGCTGGAGTGGAGTGTTGTGATCACATCCTCAGACCTCTGGCTTGTAACAGCTAGAGAAGGAGAGAGAAAGAGAGAAACAAAATCAATGGCAGGGAAAAAAAGCAATTGTGCATGGAGGGAAGAGTGAGAAATGGGAAAAGGGAAATGACAGAGGAAATGAGAACAGAAGAAAAAGAAAAGAGATGAGGAGTGAGGGTGGAGAACAGAGAAAAAGGAAGGAAAAGTCCACATGATTAACATACACTGACTTTTAAGAGAATAATACTCAGGTCCCACAGCCGTGGACAAGGAGGCTTTCAAACAGAGCGAGACAGAAATGTCAGCCAGCTAACAAGTGCCCTCCACCAGGAAAGAGAGTGGCATTGAGCACCTCTGGTTTAACAAGAGTCAGTTTTCCAGTATGAGAGAGGAATCCTCCTTCTAAAGTTTTCTCTTCTCAGCCCCATGCACCCTGGCCAGGCAACCTCCCCGAGCAGTAGGCAGAGCACAGAGGCTCATTTTGCACACAGCTGCGAGAACAGCTGGAGCAGGGACCGGCTGCTTCCACTCTGCCTTCACCACCCTCTGCCACTGCACTCTCACTCTGGCAGAGGCGGTGGAGGAAAAGCCCAGGGAAGCAAGAGTGGGGAGGGGAAAATCACAGGCTGCCTTCTGCAAACTGCTCTCGGGCTGGCAGGCAAAGGAGCTGCGGACAGCAGTCTGGAGAAGCGATCTGGCATGCGTGTCAGGCAGACACGTGGCAGACTTCCCCCCTTCCCCGTGCCACCCCTGCCTGCTTTGCATTCATTTCCACCCCTCTTCATTTCTCTCAGCTGCGCTCTCCTTTCTGCGGCCAGAGCCTCTGGCCCGGAGCCATAAGGTCTGCTTGGGAGGTAAAGGCACACATAGGACGAGAATCGAAAAAGCCACCTTAGGGATGAGTCAACCTCCCCTCCCTCCTTCCCCTCCCCAGCCTCTACAAATCAGGGCCATACCCACAAGAGGGAAGTGAGTCACTCATGCAGAGCTCAGGCTGGCAGGAGCTGAGAGTGCAGACAGTAACGTACCTGCAGAGGAGGAAAAGTGAGGAGCAGAGAGAGACAGGGCCCTGGGCAGGGACCACTCTGAGCCCTGGGGGGCTAAGAGAGCAGAGAGGAAGGATGCTGGAGGCTGGGGAGCGTGCCAGGGTGGGAGGTAGGTGACAGTGCTGGGATGGACACGGAGGGGAGCAGGAGGGAGGGTCCGGAGGGAGAAAGAGTTTAGTGCAATCCTGAATAGATGGACAGTCTGCAAATAAAAATATAACCATAAATAAACCAAACAGTTTAAAATACAAAGCAGCAGCCATGGTAACAGCTCTCCCCTGTCAGCTTTATCTCCAGAGAGACTCCTGCTCCTGGAGAGGACTGCCCCCACACCCCACACCTGCCCTAGTCCTTCCCTGCTGCTAGCTGTGAGCTCTCACCAGAAAGGTGGACCGGTCTATGCTTGGGGGGTTATTTTTATCATTTTCCTCAAGGATTTGCTGCACCTTTCTCCTCTGCTTCTGCTTCTGCCTCTGCCTCCTCCTCCACCTCCTGCTCTTCCTCCTCCAGGTCCTCCTCTGTGCTCTGTGGCCCAGCATGCAGGACAAAGGGAAGAAAGAGTGGAGATACTTGCAAGATGAGCCATGGCAGTTCTTTCTGACACACAAGGGAATAAAGCAATGGTCACGACACTGGAATAAAAAGGGACCTTTCCCCATGGCCAAGACAGTTCTGGGTTAGGGAGCAAAGAGACTTGTCTTCCTCTGGCACATCACGTCAGGGCTATCTAACCCACTTACAAGTGCTGTGATCCCACTGCCCCACAACTGCCATCAGTCGCTAGAGCTCCTTCCTGTATCCCAGGATGTCATGCACTGCTACAGGTTTCTGTCCTTCCCTCAGAAGGGGAGCAGGTGAACTCCTGCCCCTTAGGCTGGGACTCAGCAAAAGGAAACAGAAGGCTGCAAAACCTTCAGGGAAATCACACCATAGAGGCAGTGATGCACACACAGCATGGTCATGAGGAGGCATGAGGGGGATGTTAGAGTAGCATAAATGCCAGGGTCACTTGCTAAAGCCATTTGCCACACACAGCCAGACACCACCACTCTCAACACATGCACTCCTTGTTTTGGGCAATGGGTGTAATGCCACGGTGCTGAACACCAGGAGAAGCCCCTGTATTTCACCGCTGAGGTGCCCCACAGTCACAGTGGAGAGAGGAAAGAAAGAGGGAGCAAACAAGAGCAAAGGAGTTCACAGGCAACGGGAGCAGGGCCATAGCAAAGTTGGTCTCACCTTGGCTTTGTGGCTTGGCTCAGAGCTCAGGCCATTGGGGGAGTTGTACAGCTCTTTGGAGACCACGCACAGGAACTCTGTCTGATCCTCATTCCTGTAGTTATAGGATGAGCCAATGTTCACAAGCTAGAAAAGACAAGAGCAAGAATCACAAGCACATGTTACTGCAAACATCCACTCTGCCTGGGGAGCAGGGCAGAAAGCCCACCATGCAGCATAGAGTCCAATCCATACCCCCAATAGAAAGGCCTCATAACTAAGCTGATGAGGCAGCACAGAGGACCAGGACAGGAGTTTTGGCAGGATGCAAACCAGCTTAACTTCACACAGTATCCTCTAAACCTCTAGAGAAGGGGCAAGAGAGAGCCAGTGTGACAGCACCATCAGTGACCGACCCAACATTCTCAGAGAGGGAAGGTGCCTTGCCTGGGGACTGTATGGTATCCGTGATCTTTTCCCAAAAAGAAAACTCCTTCCCACCCTGCTCTACCTTCTCCATACCTGCTCAAAGCGCCATCCATCCGACATAGTGGAAACCATCTGAGTGAGCTCCTCTTCCTGGCACTGTAGCACACGGTAGACATGCTTAGGAGGCACCTGATAGCAAAATTGCAGAGCATGTTGACAACAGTCAGATGCTAAAGGCTGTTACCCTCCTGCAGAATGAAGTGGTAGTACCCCTCCTTGACAGACCTGTCCTCTTCCCCATGTCCCCTGGGGTTAAAGGGGAGTGGAAACCACAACTCAACTTTCTATTATCCTGTCATGGGGAGCAAGAACAACAGTATCTTTTCTGGAGAGGAGGGACTGAGCTGAGTGCTTCCTGCATTGTCCCCAGAAGATACTGGGCTCTTTCAATGGGGAGTTTGCATTTGGCATTTCAAAATCATTTATGCAAATGCCACAAATGCTGATGGGGTTTTGTGAGTGCAAAGTGACTGTGTTGCTAGAGGCTTACAACCTGAGGCAGACATGATGAAAAGCAATGTATCAGCCAACACTCCCAGAAGACAGATTTTAAAAGGTTATTGGCCAAGACAAGGTGTGATTGTGCCACAGGATTGATTCCTTGTGCCTCATTGTCTGCATTTAACTCTTCCACAGACATCTCTTCACCTGTTCCCTCCAGGTTTCTCTACAGGTATCCCCATGCTCTTCACTGTGATTACACTCCCAAGATTCCCCACACCAGGGCCCTCCTCCCCATGACACCTTCGCTCTCCTCACAAACATTCTTCCATATCCTACAGCAACCAGCTACCTTCTTCCAAAAGCTAGAGGAGCTGATTTGGTTTCAGAGGCTACATGCAGCATTACTTCTGGGGATGCAAAACAAGCCTGTAACTTGTTTATTGTAACTGAAATGGCGGTAGCCTGTCCCCTGCAAGATTTTGGTATGTAGACATTAGCACATAAACTCTAATTAGTTGCTTCTTTCCATTCCTTGCTGCTTCTCCCAGGTCTAATCTCCCTCTAGACTCACCTCTCCCTTTCCACATTCCCTCCTTTGCCCACTCCACTCTATCTTTCCTTGCCATTGCTCTCCAAACCTGAGTTACTGTGTAGTCCTTCTCCTCCAGTCGATCCTTGATTATTCGGACTAAAGGACCAATGTTATAGAACTCAGCTTCTTCTAGGACCCCTGAGAAAGACAGACAGAAGGACCCCAAAGACAGAAAGTTAACAGCACATCTTTGTTTTTTAGCTTACAAAAGATCAATTCTGAGCTTCCCAAGGGAGAAGTGACATCACAGCCTCACTTTTTATCAGGTTTCTGTTGCTTGAAACTCATACTGCAGGGAATTGGACCCTGGCTTTCTGCATTGCATTTCTAATGCTCACCCCAATTTCCTTATGCTGCCTGCTACTACAGAAAAGGCACTGCCAGTGAAGGCTTGCACCAAGGACTGCTAATACCTTTCCCAGATAACTGGCCAACAAGAATAAACATAGGCTCCAGCTCCTCTCAATGACCACTAGTTATTACCTTGTTCAGGCCCTCTTCTTAAGGCAGAGGACCACAACTTGTTCTGACCTTGTCACCAAAAGACCCCAGAAAATCCCAGCTTTCTTCCTGGGCCAGTTGAAGTTGCATCCACCTTGCACCCCACATGACTTCAGATGATCTTTGGCTCTCTCCCCTGTGCTTCACCTCAAAGCAGGTAAACAGAGAAGTGTTTTGTTTTTTTTCTCTATGGTGTCTGCATCCATCACCTCTCCTGAGACCTACCTGTTTGCTAACAGGCCTTCAGGGAAAGGGAGGTGGGTTCCCAGAGGGTCTGTGAGGGAAAGGCGGCTAGGAGCTGACACTCACATGTCCCCAGGGCAGTACACAGACAATGCAGGTGGGGAGATTGATCCTTCACTACCTGACACACTCAGACCTCTTCCGAGTCCCTCATTCAGCGGTGAATCATCTAACGGGTTAGTTTTATGGCAACCTGAGAGTCTGCAGCAGGAACAAAACGCAATGTTAAGCTATGAACAGGACTCCTGCTTATGCTTCAGATTCAGTTAAAACCTGTGGATGAACTCTGTCTGACCTCAGGATTACAAGAAATGTCAAGTAGGAAACACCTCAGAATTGTGTTTATTACAATTCTGTACCATTGCTTAGATATATTTTTGGAATTATAACTCATAAGATGATTCTGAAGAAAACTTTCCTTGCATTAGATAAATATATGTAAGAAAGAGAGGCAAGAAGACTAATAAACATGCAGAAACTGTGCTTGGCAAGGGCTGGATAGCACAGCCTGTCTTTGGAACTGGCTCCTTGTTAGACTCTAGCATCCCAAAAATAACAAGGCATTGGGGACTGCTGGCTGGTAACACCATGATGTTACTGAGTTATCCTACTGGACCCCCTGTCAACCTCAAATGAGGGATTGGTTTGTCTGGCTTGCTCCACTGGAACTGCTGCAGTCCACAACCCATCAGAGCACTAGTAGCATACATTGCATATCACTGATTAATGATGGTCTTTATTACGGTCAGTAGAAGAGATGAGCTTGGGGTTGTTTGGTCTTCTGGGTTTTCACTCCTAATTAGAAACACTCAGTCATTAACAGAAAACTCAGTCACAGAGCCTGGTTAAAAGTGGGTCAGGAACAAGTGAAAAATGGTTTATTGAGGCTGAGAGATCTTGCCTACTTCCGTCTTGGTGACGTCTCTGCTGAACAAACAGTCATGCAGCCACAACACCTGTAGGATGCCTTCCTCACCTACTCCAAACCCCTTTAGTAAAGGAAACGTTGGTACGCTTTCCAGGCCCTGCAGGGATAACCCTCTTAAATCCCCCCAAATCAACCTCCAGAATGTGAATGAGAGACAAGGTCAACAACAAGTCCTACTGTGTCCTGGCTACAGCAGTGATGTTAGGTGGGAAGTTTCTGAGCTCCAAGACTCACCCTCTTCAGCCATATCTTTATCCAGGACCAGCTTCCCATGACGGAGGAAATTCAGGATGGGTCCAAAGTAAGTGGGGTCCCGGTCTATTAGGTATGCACCAGTCTCATCCTAGCAACATAGACCACAAGGAGAAAAACCCCACGGGAAACTTGTAACCAATCCTCATATGCTCCAGACTACAAGAAAATACAAACCTAAGCAAAAATGTCCACTATTTCTAAGACTCCTTGGAAACCATGGGCCCCTGAGAGTCCTTAGCCAAGTCAGCTCAGCTTGGATTTTAACTCCTGTACTGGCATGCCCAGCTCAGCATGGACCAACCCAGCTGAGAAAGCCAAAAAAAATAGGCCTCGGTCTCCTTCAGCAACTGTGCATACAGGCCTGGTGTGAGAGAGCAGAAAGCCCCCTTACAGGGGACACGGCTGAGTCAGGCAGACACAGCTGGGAGGCAGACCCAGGGGACGTGGGGTGATAGAGAGGCGGGAGAGCAGGGGCGGAGGGGAGATGGCCTCTCTTTTCCCCAGCTATGGAAGACAGGTGCCAGGCTACAACACAGCAAGGTGGGAGCTGGCAAGGGGAAATCCTTCCTGGGAGAGGAGGGAGAGAGAGCAGGCATTTTTCACTCAGTTACTCCTGCAGCTGTCGGGGTTTGGCTCCATCCCTGCATCCCTCCAGCCCTCCCCACTCTCGCTGGGGCACCGTGTGGGAGGCAACCCAGCTGCCTTACCCGGTCCGACTGCAGCTCCTCGCCCTGGCACAAGCGACACAGGAAAGATTTCTGCTCCCGACACAGGGTCTGCCTGGTGGTGAGGAAGATGGTGCCCCCCACGTTGAGCCTCACCCACTTGGCCTGGGTGCCAGTGGCTGGCGGGATGTCCCAGGTGCAGCGTAGCCCCACGGCGCCCTGCATCTCCTCCCTGTGCTCCATCCTCATCCTCACACCCTCCCCCCCGGCCCCGCGGCATGCAGAGGAGGGCTGCCGCAGGTGCTGTCTGCCGAGGAAGGCCGGGATCTGTAGTTTATCTGCCTCTCCCTCTGCAGCAGCCGTGTTTCCTGGGGTCCAGGGTCCTCCCTGTGACCGCCAAGGCAGTCCCAAGGGGAGGAAGGATGCTCTGTGCTGGAAGAAATCACTGCGGCTGTTAGGGGTGGGCAAAACGACAGCTCCACAGCGCTGATGCTCCCTGGCTTTTCCCCTGTTCCTGTTTTCACTAACCAAGGGCTGGCCAGCACTTCAGAGGTGCAGGGTGTTATGCAAAAACCATCGGCATTTATTTCCATAGACATCCTCTCTGGCTCATTAAAAGGTTCTGGGAACTGTAGTTTGCAGGGACATGCACAAAAGGGTGCTGGGAACTGTAGTTTTCCCAGCCTGCTGTCCCTGCAATGAGGATGCTGTAATGAAGGGGGCTGCACTGTATTACATGACCCCAGCCCTGCGGCTGATAGTCTGCCTGCTTCCAGTCCTGGTTCTTGCCTGCAAGCTTCCTCGGCGTCAGGAAGAACAACCTGCTCCCTGGCAGTCAGCAGATTAAGCCCGTCAGCACTGTACTCCACAGCTTTCCCTTCAGGAGACCCATTACCCCAGGCTCGCAGCTCAGTGCCGCACCAGTTGCCATGCTTTTCTTCCTGAAAAATGTGCAGGCTGTTGCCTTCTTGCTAACATATGTAGGGACACTTCTGGGAACTGTATTCTGGATCTGCATGAAGTGCTGGCAGGGGGCAGGAATAAGTTCTCTTCCAGCTCGGAAGAGTCGCTGACTCAGCAAACTATCTCCCAGTGCTGTCCTACTAGCACAAAACATGCCAGACAGAGACCCCCTGCGTCCTTGCCCTGTGCTCCTGCCATCCCTGTTTGTGTCTGGGCAACAGAGAGCTCAGATTTTAACTTAGTTCTGTGTAGAGTTCTACCTCTGCCCCTGGCACATACCACCCGCTGAGGCCAAAGTGTCAATCCTGCCCTACCGAATCTAGCCCTGCCTCTGCCACTCACTCCTGCCAGACTGAGCTCGGAGCTGAGCAACTCGTGCCCCATGGGACTCTGTTCAAATGCACTCCTTGGCATGGATGCAACCTGAATAAGCTCCCTCTCCAGCAGCTCTGCTTTTCCCACTCCCACCTAAGCACAGCCGTGCTTGCCAGAAGCTCGAGCGTATTAGGAATGGAAAGGCTGATGTTTCACCTGAATGTGGCCCAAAGCCTTCCTTCACCTAAGCAGCTTTCTGGCTCTTCCTTGCCAGGGCAATGCAGCACTGCAGAGACAGCGTGGTGCCTTGCAGACACATTATTGTTCTTGCACCTAGACCTTTGTGTCTTTTGAGGTGGGGGTGTATTGGGGTAAGAGGGCGGATAAAGAGAAAGATTATGCTTTACTCATATTCCTTTTCATCCTTCCCTCTTCTTTTACTTACAAATCACTCCCTTTTATTGTTACAGGACGTGAAGGCAGCATCACCCTTCCCCCAGATCACCCAGGACTTCCTTCACAAAGATGGTATAGGTGTGTACTTTGCTCCTTCTGTGGAGGAGTGGAAAGGGGAGGAGGGGAAGAGGGTAACACGGAAAAGGTTCCAAGCTTGCTGACCTCCAGCTAATTTAAGCACAGGAACAATTCAGCTGCTGCAGGTTGTAAATTCTAGTAACTCTGGATCTCCTTTAATTTATATCAGGAGCTGGCTAGCACTAGAGTGACCAATAATAGGGAGAGGATGAAAAATTGTTTTTCCCTACCTGTATGGAGCAGACTTTGGCCCAAATTAGTGCTCAGCCCTTGGACTGGTCTCCACTGAGCAGTGGTGGGCATCTAATATGCTCAGACTAACAATGACCTGAGCTGAAGCATCACACAGTGCAACACAGCTGTGGGACTGTTGCCCTCCTACTTCTGGCTCTGAGTCAAACCATGGCAAATCTGAGAGCTCTGCCCTGCACTCTGGTGTACAAGGGATGCAGGACCCTGTCTGTGCTGGCTGCAGCTTCAGAGGAGAATTAGGGTGAGGACTGTGGCTCTCTGATATGAATGCAGTAGCTGGGTGGCAGTCTATAGCCCCTTATCTCCCCCTTCAAGAAATATGCCCTGCCTTAGTTTTCTTCCTTCTTATATCAATGGTTCACCCTGTCTCCCTTTTGTCCTCTCACAGCCCCTCAGCCTCTTGCTCCTCTTTAGGTCCAATCTCTTGTTTTTGACACCTTCTTCTCCAACGTCTCCCATGCCAATGCTGCTCACGGGTCAGGGATGGTTTATATTCAGAGCACACCTTCTTCCATCAACACCAACCTCCATCTGTGGCCAGCACTTCAAGTCTTGCTCACCCAGGGCCATGGTGATGAAAGGTTAGTTGGTAAATCTAAAAACGTATACTATGAGTAAGGAAAGAGGTCAAGGTACACCACTCCCATCCCCAGAGCCTTCTTTGCTGCAACATACAGCACAAAATTTATTGGAACCACCCCAGGCCAGGGCGTTCCCCATAGCACATGAAAATACTCTCCAGGAAGAAGTCAGTCTGGGGTGAGTTACCAACTGAAATGCTATGATGAGTCGGTGGTGTGGGCTAAATACAGGCCTGATCTGCACACCATCACCAGACACAGTTCTGAGATGCAACTAGCATGCCTGGGTTAAGGTCCATTAAGCAGTAAACAGAGGATAAATAAATTTAACTAATCCAATGGCTGCTCCTCCTGCTTTGATGATAACTATATATAAAGCACATGTACACAGAGAGACATCAGCGAGCAAGAGCTCACACAGGGCAGCATGATTGTGTAACACCATACAGCCCTGCCGAGTACCCAGTTAACCATGGGGACAATTGCACAGATAGATTGGGGACAAGGAAAAGCTGGACAGCCACGGGGTAGACAGGTGATGGCAAGAGCTGAGGAAAACAGAGCAGGGGGTAAACCGAGATTTTCTTGTTTCAGCAGCCAGCAGGCCTGCAGTGCAAACCTGCAGAAAGCTACACACACTGCAGTGCTCCATACGTACGCTGCAGCCTGACAAGTCAGCTGGGTACATGGTGTTTGATGCATCACTCACATTGTGGAGCTGCTCTTAGGGAGCTGTTGCATTGTGAAGCGTCAGTGGGAGCGGGGATCACTGTGTGTTGGCACAGACAGTGTCACCACTCTGGCAGGCTGGGAACGCGTGTCTGGGATTAAACTTGCATGATCATTTAGTTAATGAACACACTGCGGCACGAGGCACCGGAGAAGAAACCATCTCCTCTCTCCATAGGAGGTGGGGAGGGGAAGACAAGTAATGCTCTGACATTTGCCATTACGCCAACAGTGAACTGGGAAAAGAAAACTCCCTACACTGGACTTGGAGGCGGGAGGAGTCTTCCCACTTGACATTCACTTGTAGCCAACAGAGCCCAGATTGACTGCCAGCTGAGCCAGGCATATTGGAGCCAGAAGAGAAAGGTCCCATGGCATGCAGGTGAGCTAATCTTTCTCCAGCTCCTTGTGCTTCGTGTGGTCTGTGAGCAATGTACCTGCATTCAAAATAGTGTGCAAAGCCTGCGTGTGTATGTGCATCACTTGGCATCTCTGTTGGAAGAGTGCTGGGAGGAGGACAGAGAAGAGTCATGTAGCACCCAGTTGTGCGCTGGGACCAGGAGAGACGGGAGGAACAAGAAAAGCCACTGCAGGTGATTACCATTACTCATGCAGTGGTCGTTAGTGGGAAGGGACAGCAGTGCTGGCAGAAAAAGGGCTGATTTGGGAAAGTCTGCAGGGGAACAAAAGGTTTGCTGGGAAATGAAGTGTGAAATAGTGCAACCTGACGGCTAGGCAGCAGTAGGGAAGGAAAGAAGAAGGCAGGGGACGAAGACGACCTGTGAGGAACAAGGGACTGCAGGATTACTGTTGGAGAACCATTGACCAGACTGTTTTCAGAGTCCAAAACTGGTTCAGGACAAAAGTATTACAGATAGTAAAATATACCAATAAACCAATAAAGAGTTTACATGCCAGCCTGGGATTCTCAAATTTATATAGAGAGCTGTAAAAGCTCCAGTCTCAAGTTAACCACAGGTCAATGTGATCCTCTTCCAACATCACGGCTGTTCCCAGTGCTTTGCCTGCAGCATGAGAACAGATCTCAGCTAAAAGGAGGGAGAATATCAGAAGACACTCTTGGACAGATTTTTGATATATGAGGGCATACCCCAGAAAGACAAAATACCTTGTCATGAGGAGGAAGTTCTCCATTTTGCCTCTGTGGGGAAATCAAGACAAAGCTAAGCATCTGGTAAAAGATTTGCCAAAAGCTGGGAAACTGAAGAACCGCTGAGATTTTGTGGTTCAAAACCCAGCCAGAAAGGCAGTTGAGTACTGCCAGCTTTGGCACACATACCAGAGGGGGGGAAAGGCCTTGCTGGATGTCATCGAGCCACACAGTCAAAATGCAGAGCAAGGGGAGAGGGAAATCTTTCACTTAGTTTGCGGTCTCCAGGTGGATGGCTGGGCTGCACCAGACACCTCTCCGCAACACACAGGACAGAGAAAAGCAGCTCAGCCTCAAGAGGAAGCAGAGAGATTCCCACTGACCGCAGGGACTGCTGGGGTCAGTGGGAAAAAAGAAACACAGTGCTTAAGATGCATTGCCAAATGTTCTGGAAGGACAAGAGCAAAAGCCAGCCCCCTGCATCCACTGGAAATGATTAACAAAGTCTGAAAGAATATGTCAATTTTCTCTAGTAACTAAATTTTCCTGGAGAAATAGAGCAGACACAGCACTCCTGTCTATCTGTAAACAGGGGCCTGGACACATACTGACAAAATCAGCCTCACCTCCCAGGCACACCCAGGGTGTTAAACCTTAATGACCCACCACGTGAAAGCCTCCTAGCTTGGCTGATGGTGGGAGAAACTAGAAATCCTGAACTGAAAAGACGTTACAAGCCAGATCCTGCTATAAGATTGCAAACTAGACAACACTGTACAACTATCTTTAACTTAAGGTGTCTTAAAAAGCAGCACTCCTCTTGCTCAGACTGGGAGGCACCTCCACAGAGTTTAGCACCACTTGCTGTTCCCAGCCAGTGCTTATCCTTTTGTTTTCATGACCGCACCATACTTCAGCCGGTGGGGCTTTTTTTTAAATGCCTTCAGTTACAGACTGCAATCAGATGTCCTGCATGACTAGTTCTTCCCTTTGCCCTGCAGGAAACAGTTGCTAGAAAATTACCCAACTTGGGATAAAGGAAGGTGTTGCTACCAGTCTTTAAAAACACACTGATTACCTGGGTGGGGAAATTCATAAAGCATCAGGGTAGAAAACCTTTCCCTAGCAGTAAGGAGAAGAAAATTAATTAAACCATCAGTTAGATCCAGAACCGAAAGTCTTAACAATTTGCAGGGCATGCTGTAACCTGCAAAAGAAACCCTTTTGGGAAGTCCAAGCCCAAAGAACTAAATGGAAGCTGGCAAATATAAAGGTTTATTATTTTATCCAGATCTGGGTCTTGCACTGCCTACTAAAGGGTCACTTGTTTCAGACCCCTGTGTACTCTGTATACTCAGCACTTGCTGTAACACCAGCCCCAAGTCCCTGAAAAGCCAGGTTGTTAGACTGGATGTACGTAGGGAAATTGAATGCTTTCAGTCACTGGAAATGGGTGGAAAGAAGGGTCAGGCTATATGTGTGGCTGGTGAAGACAGAGGAATAAATTATCTGGACAGTGAAACTCTAGCTCCACAGGAGGTGAGAAGAAATGGAGCTTGTGTCCATGCAAGCCAAGCCCACAAAGAAGCCAGGGCTTCAGCCAACAGAGGCCAAAGGAAATGCAAAGAATAAACACTCTCCAAAAGGAAAGGATCCAGCCCTCATATTCAGTGCCTAGGAGGGGACCCTGCAAATCTGTGACATAAGCATCCATAGCATCCCCTAGAAAGGACAACCCCATCATCCTTGGATGTCCACAGGTACCTGTTGCTGTAAGCCCAAGAGCAGAACCTGTCTCATTAACTTTGTAAGTTACCAGTGAGCCAGAATAGGTGCAGGCTTTCTCTCTCTTGGGTTTTTTGGGGTTTTTTTGTTTGTTTGGTTGGTTTTTTTTAAGAGGAGAAAATCCCAGAGAGAACAAATTCTTGAACATTGTCAGGGATACCCAGGGGGATTTCAACTCCTAATGTGGAGTTTTAGGTCAAAAAGCAAATGGACAAGGACTGAAAGGAGGAAGATGCTGAAAAGTCCCAAGAGAGAGGCATGCCATTGTCTTTCCTGGGCGAAAGAGCTTGTTGAGGGCAAGAGACATAGTTCTACTCATAGGGAGAAGGAAACATCTCATCTGAATCATCAAGACAAAGTGATCCTATCAAAATAGAGTTCCTGAAAAGGGATCACCCAAGCAACACTCACATAAGTTCCATTCAGCAGAAAGACCTTGAAACACATGTTTATTTACCCTTTTTTTAATCCCAGAATCTTTTCTTTTTCCCCCAAGGGGGATCTTGGACCATGAGGGTACAAAACTGGCTAAGTACACATTGCAGTTAGAGTCCAAGTGCAAGAAGAAATCCAAACCAAGTCTCTAACCTAAGTGCCAACCTGGAAGCCGTATTTGTTCCTTTAATAGCTATGCCTTTCCCCAAAGTTTTTCACTCAAAATGGCCATACAATGCACAGATGGCTTCTAGGACAGAGACAGAGAGCAGTATCATGAGGCACAGTTATACAACTATGACCATCCTGTGAGTGAACATAGCAGAATGTCCTAAGTCATGAGCTTCGCTTGACTCAATTACTTCCCCATGCTGCCACCAGCACTCTCTCCCTTCCATCTGATATGGTAAAAGGGTCACAGAATCACAGAATGGCTGAGGTTAGAAGTGACCTTGGGAGGACATCTGGTTCACCCCACCTGCTCAAGCAGGGTCTCCTAGAGCTGGCTGTCCAGGCCATCTTTATGCTCCTAAGCAGCAGCAGTCAGGTAAGGAGAAAGTGCCAAAGCACCATGTGCCCGTACTTGTTACCCAACACCTTCACCTCAAGACACTTAACCAGCAATGCTAAACCCATCTTTTCCAAATCCTGTTTCAAGGCAAATTCTCTGCACAGCTGGGAGACAAAGCAGCTTGTTACACTGTCTTCCCCTTTCCCTCAGAAATAATATTTTCAGGCTGTGCCCGCATGTACCATTCCACCCAGGCCCCATCGTATACAGCAACATCTGGCTTGCCACAGAGGTATGCTCCCAGAGCCACGTGGCAGGCAGTGACCCCAGAGCCACACGTGGCTACCACCGGCTTTAAGAGGTCCACCTTCTTCTCCTGGAACAGACTGCGGATCTGCTCAGGGGTCTTCTCTAAGCCAGACTCTGTGAGGAAATCGGTGAAGGGGATGTTCATCGACCCAGGGACGTGACCAGGCTCAATTCCTGGAGGAAAAGCAATACAGGTAGGAATTAACCTCTACTGTCTGCGACAAATCCATTATAAAACCTGTTCTCTGTTTCACTGGGAGGAATATTTATTTAGTGTATTTTGTTAAAACAAATACATTTATTTTTGTTAAACTTTGCTTTACTAGATTACTGATTACTCAGAAAGGATGGCTCTAACCTTCAGGTTACCACATGGACACAATGCTGTCAAGTTCTCTTCTTCCTCCTAGTTCCCTCCACATCTTCCCCGCATGACAGCAACCCACTCTGATGAGGCACTGACTGAAGCACCTCCACAGGCCCTTCTGAGGGGAAGAGTAGCACCACTACATGAAAAGACCAGTGAATATCTTTGAGGTGTATGAAAGCTACATGCCTCACCCCAGCCCCTCACGAGAAAAAAAAACCCATGGCTTCCCCACTCCTGAATTTTCAAAGAGCAGCACTTGCTAGTCAAAAGGAGAGGACAGGTGGATACACTGCCTCAAGTCCCGTTCCATAAAGGACAACCATATTTCCCTTCATTACCTCTACAGGAGTCAAACTGATGGGCACCTTAAATGAAGCCCCTTTTTGTTACGTCAGTGTCTCAGGAGGCACATTACCATCTCGGGGCTCTGGTTCTACTCCCCGGAACCGTCCTGCAGCGCGCGCATCCACTACTTGGAAGCGGTGGGAATCCAAGTTATCTAAGACGTCCTCGTATGTTTTCACCAGGGACTTGTCCAAGGAGGCGTGGAACTCGGAGGGAGCTACTTGGCTTTTCCCAGAGCTCAGCGCATTCCCCTCTCGCTGCCAGTTCTTCAGGCCACCATCCAGAAGGGAGACAGCTTCATGTCCAAAGGCCCGGAACATCCACCACACCCGCGGTGCTGAGAAGAGACCTTGGTCGCTGCCATCATACACCACAACATGAGAATCATTCCCCACACCCAGCTTCCCCACGTACTCAGCAAAATCATCAGCCTTGGGCAGCATGTGATCGTAAGGTGAAGTACGGTCGCTGCACTGGTCAATGTCGAAGAAAACTGCACCAGGGATGTGGCGCTCCTCAAATTCCCGCTTCGGGTCACGCTTCATCTTCGGCAAATACCAGGATGCATCCACAATTCTCAAGGCCAGACCAACTTGCTGGGACTTGATGGCTTCTGAAAGCCATTTGGCAGACACCAGCGCACGGTAGAGGAGTTGTTGCGACATTGCTCCAGAGGCCTGGCCAAGATTACCTGATTCCTGGAGTCTGCCTGAATCCACCTGACTGCAGAAGGAAGAAAGCTGCAAATCAGAGCCCAGCCTTACAACAAGTGGCTGGATAAAGACGCGTTTTGGGACCAAAGACCTGCGTCTGCACTGAGGTGCTGGCTAAGCCTACAGTGAGTGAGTGGTTTGAAATGCTCCAGCCTTGAAAATAAAGTTTCACAGAGCTCCGCCCAAACCCTGCCCCGAGCAGGCCA